GTTCAACGATCTCATTTACTGAGGCTCTTCATGATCGTCTAATCCTCGGCTTAGCTTGTGATATTATGAATGGCTTGGATGCGCACTTGGAATTCGTACATGATCATGAGCTCCGCGGAATCCAGGCCTTTCTGTATAAGGCAGCGGATACCGCAGCAGCTCCCCTGGGTTTAGAGTTACATCGTGGCCGAGATGGCCAGTTGGCTGGTGACTCATTAGCCAACATGACCAAAGCTCGGCCTAGGGACCATCAAGCAGGCGGAGCAGTCCACCTTGTTCCGCCAGCACATCGATAGGCCCACGTATGGCGCATTTTTCCGTCATATAGAAGATCAGGGCCTATCTTTTCAGCTGACATTTTATTTCTTGAAGTCCGCTGGCTTGATGTCTGAGACTGAGGGTTTCATCTGCGCATGTCAGAATGGTGTAATAAATACCCTGGTCTATCGAAGCTGTGTTATGGGGTTGCAAGTTTCTGACACCCGGTGTCGGGCTTGCAAACAGTCGCCCGAAACTCTGATGCATCGCCTGCCGGCCTGCCCGAGATATGCTATCACGAGTTATATTCATCGTCATAATGCGGCCCTAAGAGTGCTTTATTTCTATCTGCGGCACTCCTATGGAATAGACAGAAGGCCACTGCTGCCATATGCTCCAGGAGATATTGAGTCCGTTGTCGTGAATGAGAGGTGTAAGATTTACTGGAACTTCTCCTTCGCGACCGTCAGGCCAACCATTGCAAGAAAACTTGACGTCGGTCTCTACGATTTTGATGACAAAATCATCTATGTCATCGAGTTTTCGGCTCGGGCTGAGATGAATATCACGGTGAAAGAAGAGGAGAAACGGCTTAAGTACCGGCCGCTTCTGTTTGAGCTACGTCAATCAAATCGGGTATTTAAAGTGAAGTTGGTTGTTCTCATCATTGGTTCTTTAGGGGAAATGAAACAGTCATTTATATTTGAGCTCGAAACCATCCCGGCCTGTCGGCGTCAAGCCTTCATGTTGGCTAGCCAAATGCAAAAGGCCGTCATCCTTGAGTCTCTTCGTCTACTTAGACAGCACGATTCTGGACTGCAATAGAGCTTACCCTCCTGTTGGAGGGAGCACTGCAGAGCGATTAGGAAAAGTTTGTATCGCTTAGTTTGTTCGGCGGTCTTCGAGGTGAAGTCGGAACCCTCGAGGATCGCTCAGCGATTCCATTTACATGGAACAGAAATGATGATAATAATAATAATAATAATAATAATAATAATAATGATTAGAATAAAGACATGAAAGTAAAATGATCTTATATCTGGGGAAATTTGAAAGGCGCTTCTTTAGATGATTCGATGGTTTAGTAGCGATAGAAAACAGAAAATAAAATTAACAGCGGTTGATCTATCAACGAGTTATAAATATAACTCCTACCAACAGAGAGTCTAACTATAAGGAAGAGAAGAAGAAGACCGAGTCGTCGATCTTCATAACTATCATTAATAACTATTACATTATCCACTACAGCTGTGGCATCTTCACTTTCTTGCTTTCCACATGTAATTATAAGTGTTAGATTGAATAAATATAGTTTGTCATATATCTAATACAGTTTGAACTTCCTATGTGAGCCGCTATTAACTACACAATTTTGTGGCACCCTCGCCCCTCTCAGTTGCCACTCCAGCGATTCCCCAGGCGCAACAGCGCCAACGGCGCAAGCAGGAACTTGTGCCTCGCCAAGACTTGGACTAACTGTCGATAACACAGTATTTCCTGACTACACGGCCACGCCACGGGCCATAGCTGTAGCCAAAGCATTTCTTATTACTTAAAGCTACTTAAAGTTTTGTTAACCAATAAATATTAGTGTGACATTATCCCTGACTTCCCGTTTATTAAGAAACCCTCAAAAGTTTCCACAAAATTGGTGACCCCGCCGTGATTCAGACGGATATTGTCACCTAACCTCAAACATGCACGTGGAGCGTTTCACAATGTCGCTTCCTAGGACGCCACTGAATAACGGTCGGTCGATGCCAGTGTTGATCCCTCAGTTAAACGACTCATCCAGGCAAAACTTTCAGCGATCACTCATCGATTTGGACGATTTTGCATCAAGCCTTCATGCCAACGACAACACCAGGCCTCTAACACCTGCAAATGTCTTGCCATTCAGCAATGACATCACGAATAACAACCAACATCCTCAAGTCGCAGTAAGCAATGTTAACGCACTTTCTACACATCCATGCAGACTGACAAAATTTATCAGAACATCCACGCGCTTGGTTTAGCCAAGTAGAGTCTGCATTCAATATCTACAACGTCACCACCAAAGCTGAGAAGTATCATATCATGATTAATCATCTTGAGGCTGATGTTCTTGACGACATTTCAGACATTTTGATGTGTCCCCCTACCATAGATCAGAGCGACTATGTAAAACAGGAAATACTAAAGCGTTTCACCGAATCTCTTGACAAACAGCTTGAAAAGGCATTGTCTCAGCTCACTCTCGGTGCCCAAAAGCCCTCGCAGCTCCTTCGCAAAATCTCTAGCAGGAGGACGAGCTAACGACGACATCCTACGCATCAGATGGCTTTCCCTGCTGTCACTCGACGTCCAGAGGATCCTCAAGGCCACCAGATTCACTGCCTTGGATGACCTCACCCCCGTCGCGGACGAGCTGATGGAAGTCCCCTCAACAGCAACAGTAATGGCTGCCTCCTCCCATACAAGGTATGCCGCTCAACAGACTCCAAATTCAGTGACCACTGAGCTTGCAAAGCTCAGACAGGCGATGGTCCAGCTGATCAACCTGAACCGCTCCATGGCAGAGACCCTTGAAAGGCTGCACATGTCTTCAAGATCGAGGTCCAGGTCACGATCTACATCAGCACCTCGTTCCCCATCACCAGCCACCCAAGGTATGTGTTTTTATCATGCGAGGTTTGGGGCTAAGGCACGACATTGCCTCCAGCCATGCAACCAACCACCTCCAGTGCAAGGGAACTAAAATCGCTGTCGTCAGTTTCGGCGGTGGGCGACAGCGACTTCAACAACAACGAGCACAACATCAGAGAGCATCGCCTATTTTTCCCCGATAATCTAACAAAGGCTCAGTTCCTGGTCGACACGGGCTGTGTCATCTCCATTATCCCCAGAATAACGCCCCATTCCAATGAAATACCTGCAGATTTCAAGTTCTACGCCGCCAACGGTTCTACCATGAACACGTACGGACAACGAGTGCTCACCCTCAACCTCGGACTGCGTCGTGCTTTCAAATAGCCCTTCACCGTTGCTGATGTGCAGACAGCCATCATCGGAGCTGATTCTTTGACCCATTATGGTCTGTTGGTCGATCTTCAAGGCCGTAGCCTCCACGACACGACCACTAACCTCAAAACCCTTGGTCAGCTGCGTGAGACTTCCATCTACAGTATCTCTTCAGTTGATCAGAACCCCAAGATCTCTAAAAAAATTCTAAGAGAATTAGAATTTAGAGAGAAAAAATTTCCGCTTCACCCAGCCGGGAATCGAACCCGGGTCTCCCAGATACGCGCCGGGCACTCTTCAGTCTACAACCAGCTTCTCCACAAATACATTGATGTCACGAAGCTAGCACCAGTTCCATCCATCAGCACCAACAGTCGGACTGCCCACCACATCCCCACCACTGGTCCCCCGGTAGCAGAGCATCCTCGACGTCTTGCTGGTGAGGAACTACAAGCAGCTAAAGAGAACTTCGATCTTCTCCTGCAATATGGTGTCATTCACCCCTCCAGCAGCTCATGGGCTAGCCCAGTGCATATGGTACCAGTGGCAGTTCTGTCAAGAAGAGGTTCAATACCTAGGTTATATTATAAATAAACATGGATATTCACCTCCTCCAGCCAAGGTTGAGACCATCTTGCAATACTCCAAGCCCGAGACAATTGAAGATCTTCGCAGATTTCTTGGCGTCGTGAACTACTACTGGCGCTGCATCCCTCTTCTAGCAGAGATTCAGGTTCCTCTCAACAACCACTTGAAAAACGCCAAGAAAAAGGACAAACGCAAGGTACCGTGGACTCCAGAATCTGAAACAGCCCAAGAGAAATGCAAGCAAAGCGTTGCATTAGCAGTCAGATCTTCATTCCTGTCATCAACAGCACCTTTGACCCTTTCAACAGACGCCTCTGACTCTGCGATCGGAGCAGCTCTCGAGCAATTCGTAGACAACACATGGCTGCCCCTGGAATTCTTCTCAAAGAAGCTGAACCCCACCCAGAAAGGCTACAGCACCTACGATGGTGAGCTTCTAGCCATCTTCTCTGGTATCCAGCACTTCAAGCACATAGTCGAAGGACGTGAGTTCATTGTTAAAACGGATCACAAACCTCTCGTCTACGCTTTTCACCAACGTCCAGAGAAAGCATCACCTAGACAGGTAAACCAGCTCAATTTCATCTCCCAATTCATCACACAAATCGTTCACATTAAAGGTGAGGAGAACATTGTAGCTGGCGCACTGTTTAGAGTCAACACCATCAACATGCCCAAGGCTCTTAGCTCGGAAGTCATTCATGAGGCCCAACAAGACGACGTAGATCTCTCGCAACTGTTCAGCAACAACAACTCAAGCTCCAGCCCCTGGTTGTCGAAAGTCACGAGATTTATTGCGTCATATTCACTGGATATCTTCGCCCCTTCATTCCAGCCGCCCTCCGCCAACGTGCATTCAAGATTGTCCACGACCTTTCGCACCCATCTGGCAGAGTCACAGCTCGTTACCTTAAGGAGAAATTCGTCTGGCCTGGCATCAAACGAGACGCACTTCGCTGGTCACGTATTTGCCCTATCAAAAATCGAAGGTGCAAAGACACAACCGGTTGGATTCAGTGCACATCGACGTTCCAGATAACCGCTTCGACCATGTGCATCTCGACATCATTGAGTTACCACCAGTGAACAGACTCCGATACTGTCTGACAAAGATCGACAGGTTCACTCGTTGGCCCGTCGCTGTACCACTCATGAACATCGAAGCAGACACTATCGCCACTGCTTTCTACAATCATTGGATCACCCAATTCGGCACGCCTCTGACGATCACCACCGATGAAGGTAGCCAATTCGAGTCAAGACTCTTCACCGCTCTCACTCGCATGATAGGAGCAAATAAGATCCACACGTCACCGTACCGTCCTCAGTCTAATGGGATCTTGGAGCGATGGCACCGCACCGTTAAGGCTGCACTCATGCGCAATGCACCAACACCTTGGTCTGAGCTGCTTCCAACGGTCATGCTCGGCCTGCGCACCTGCATCAAGCAAGACCTGAACGCATCACCAGCTCAACTCCTCTACGGTACAGAACTCAGGATTCCTGGAGAATTCCTCGTGTCGGAAGACCTACCAGCAAACCCTAACTTCTTCCTAGAAAAGTTCATGGAGCACATCAGGGAAGTTCGTCCGTCACCCACAGCTCACCACACCAAAAGTCGCTGCTTCCTCTTAAAAGACTTATACACCTCCAGTCATGTCTTCGTGATGATCGATGTAGTCAAGAAACCTCTTGACCCACCATTTTCCGGACCTCATCGAGTCATCAGGAGAATCGATGATCGCAATTTTGTCATCGACCTAAACGGCACTGAAAATTAAAAATATCTCAGTTGACCGACTCAAACCAGCATTTATTGCTATAGAGTCGTCAACAGCATCAGAAGATTCCAGAGTGCCAGCCTCACCACCACCAATGATCCACTGCCATCAACCACCATGGACAGACCTCTGAGAACCTACTCTGCAAAGAAAAGAGTTTCGTTCCCTTCATCTTCATCAGACCAGGTCACTGGGGGGGAGTAGATATGGCACCCTCGCCCCTCTCAATTGCCACTCCAGTGATTCCCCAGGCGCAACAGAGCCAACGGCGCAAGCAGGAACTTGTGCCTCGCCAAGACTTCGACTAACTGTCGATAACGCAGTATTATCTGACTACATGGCCACGCCACGCGCCACAGCTGTAGCCAAAGCATTTCTGATTAGTTGAAGCTACTTAAAGTTTTGTTGATCAATAAATATTAGTGTGACATTATCCCTGACTTTACATTTATTAAGAAACCCTCAAAAGTTTCCACAATTTTAGGCCTTACAGCGCCATCTCTTGGAAGCAAGTGGTATTGGAAATGATGCTCTATCGGTACTTTATTCCTATAAGACCAATCCTGTCTGATCGACATACCACATCATGTAGATTAGCAGTATTGACCATGGTCAGAAAAAAGTTGGGTCAGAGCCTAAATGTACATATCCATTTGAGCGGACTCTCATAAGAGGGCAAAGTATCGCTTTGAAGTTCATAAGATATGGTAGAAACAGGTATTATGACGCTTTGATGTGGCCGACACCAAAACAGGGGACGAGTACTACCGAACGCTGTCGCGCCTCTTCCTCTCACGCGGCCAGATCCCCCCACCACATATTTGTTGTGCTTGGCGTTGCTCCGTTAGGGCAATATTATTTTTTTATTATAGGGAAGTTATTCAAATCTGGTGTTGAATAGAGAGAAAGAGAATCTGAATCAAAACATTATATGATGTTAAGGGTTGACTGAGAGTCATATGGGTTACAACAGCCAAATGAGGGTCGAAAGGAGAAAAAATCATCAGAATTTAATTTAAGTAATTATTTCTCTTTCTTTGTATACTGGGGTTCAATGAAGGTGCGTGGAAGGATTTGGAGGAATTTTTTCTGTGATAACTTTAAATTCAAGTGAAGTGAGTTAATTTTCACATACGAGTTTATTATTATTATTACTCGATGTACAATATATCAATTCAATTACAGTGTGAGGGCTCTATTTTATCAATGTGTGGATAGATCTATGAAAAATAATGAAAAGACCTTTCTTGGAGAAGAGGAGAGGCTAGCTCCCAGATCGAAATCCTGAAGTGACTGAGAGTAAAATAGAAAGATCTCTTGGTATACAAAACTCTTTCCACGTCACCCAAGAGGTAGAGTTTTTGACGCGTTTTTTTAAAGTGGAATACCCTGTAGGCCTAATCCACAAAGTTAATGGCTGGAACATTGCGGATATTTCGATATCTGAAAGCATAAGCAATAAGAATATGAATCACGCAAAATGTATAATTTTGTAACAAGGCCGGAAAAAAAATCTTCAGACGAGTGTGAGGGTTGCAATCACACGAGTCAGAACATTTTTTTCCGGCCGAGCGAGGAATATTAGTTTTTCTTCATGCTGTTTGTAGAGGAAGTGTCCATAATATGTCGTTTTACGGATCGAGTGATGAAAATTACTTTTATGCAATTCTATCGACGTTAACTTACAGTGATCATTGTATCATATGAAAAATTGAAGTGGAAATCCTGAAGATATGGACTAGCCTAGCATGATATAGCTCCCGTTAACTGGAACAGAATCTTCTATGGCTCCTTCCGTGTCCCTGAGGAACTGAAACAGCGGATTTTCTGTAAGAATCTGTGCAGAGAGACTTTACAAAATCTTGAAAGCTAAGGTGTAAATTAGAATCCTCTTTAATGAAAGAGTCAAGTCGTACGGATTTGACGATTATGCAAAGTCCCTCCTGTGAAAAACAATCTTTTAGTTTCCATAACTATTATCGTGAACAGATACCCATGATCTACTGCTTCCTCGGAATACTTCAGCCTCTGTCGGGGGCTTTGCGTTTCCGAGCAGTCTGGGCTGAAGTCCTCATGAAACCACTTTTCGAAGCGTATTCGATCATGACTTCTGGTTGAGATGTGTTCAAAGCCGAAATGTGCACAGGCAGGGCGAGGAATTGATCAATAGCTTTCCTGATGTTGTCATGTTTGGTGCAGGCAACTACGTACAGCTCTGGTGGAATTTTCTTGCTGATGGTCGTAGCAAGAGTCTCTGGAACGTTATTCAACCGGAGGATTCGAGTCCCCGCGCTCGTCATGAGACGTTCAGACATGAAGATGATTTCATATCGTCGAGCTGTGGGGTGAACCAAGCCTCCCTCACTGATAGCCGTTGTCCATTCATATGGTAGAGATTGATCAGCTTCTGGAGTGATGATTGAACGGTAACAATCCTCACAAGATCCACGAATGTGCCTGGCCATCCAACCTGCAACGTAATATGTACCATATTCTTGCATTCGACTCAAGTGGCAATTCCCCAACTGTAATTCTTCTATTTGGTCACTGTTTTGTCCCACTAGTTTGCTCTCCTTCGTCCTCTCAGAACATCAATGTAGTAAGCCTCTTCGTCATCGAAGTATGAAGAGTTTTTGCTTACTTTCAGGAACATAGCCACTGCGAGAAAGCGAAATTTGTGACGTAGACGAACAGGACGAGGATGCATATCACCTTGCTTGAGAGAAAAGATTTTTACAACGACTGGAGCCGAAACGACTAGGAAGAAAATACTCCAATTTGCCAGAAAGCACGTATCGTTCATGACATTTTAACGTGGTTATTGTAGCTAGTTCAATTCCAGGTTGGATGGATTTGCGTTGAACGTCTTTAGTGAATTTGAATCCCGTGATCAAATCAGTGAATTCCGTCAGCCTCTTCTTCTTAACCATGCTCGCTGCGTCAGCACTAAGAGACTCACTATTGTGTCGTGCGGGCATAATGGAGTATCATTCATGAACCTTGAGAATGAACCACCCGGTAGTTTCCGCTTCTCGAGGCATGTTAGATTTTTCGTCCTTAGGCAACAAAATCAAACTGATTCCAATTTCCTTGGAAAAACCGTCTCGGGCAACTCTAACGTTCATTTTGTTGAATTTCCCAGGCTTTACATGTTCTAGCTTCAATTTGTAAGCAAGAGTGATTCCTCCACGCCCGTAATTATTTCTCTGGATGGATGTTTCATGGATACTATCGGTGCGGGCAGAGAATTGGCAAATTGGATATCTTGAGGAATGTAGAAATCCATCCTTTCCAATTGACACCACATATTTTTCAATAAGTGTTCACGATCGAGGGAGATGTATAATCTCTCTCCGTTTTCGAAAGGATGAGAGAATGAAAATGTACCGTGTCCTTTAATGCTATAAACACCTCGAGCACTCCACAAAGCTCGGTTTCCTGGCCCTGAATCCGATGACAAGCAGACAACATGGATTCCGGCATTTTCAAGAAGACGAATAATTTCTCGTAGAAAATCCCACAATTTAGTGTTATCGACAGATGCTCCTGTTAGCCCATAAGCGATCGGCTGCTTCCAATGCGATGAAACTCCACGAGCCACAACTACCAGAGCATGTTCCGCTTGATCGGAAGCTTCCTTCTCATATCGCGCCAATTCCGGAGTGAGCAAACCGATCAATTTCTACAAACCACGATCGTATTCCACGGAAGGATGAAATGACTTTTCATCCGTGCTCACAACGCAGAGATGTGCATTGGGAGTCTTATCCTGAACCTTGTGACGGTTGACTCTCTCAAGTTAAGACCCTGGCGACATTTGGCCCTCACAAGGTCTGCCCCTGAAGACGTTTGATCCTCTCAAGGCATGATCGTTGCAAAATATAAATCTTCTCGTGGATCGTGTTTGACTCTCGTCAAGTATGACTCTTGTGCTCCTCGTAAGCAACGTTATGAGACCTTGGTGGTCATGACGAGACTCGCAAGAAATCTCGCTCTAGAGGCAATTCCATCTCGGTATCGTGTCAATTATTTTTGGATGGTATCGTGGGCAGTCCAATTTAACCATCAGTGTAATTTAATCCTTCTGATTAGCCAAACGGCTTCTCCCATTTGACTAACATGGTAATTTTTCGGCCCAATGAGTTTATAGTAAAAAACGTCTTGTTTTTTTTTATAAAAAATTTTTGATTATCAAGTGTGTTGTAATATGAGCAATAATCCTGACACTCCAGATTTGATATTAATACTACATATTTATTCAAGTATTAAACCCGATACATTTGGATACAAAAATAACGATAATATAAACGTGTTTCGCTCTCGGTGGCCATGACCGGAAGACCCCAAAATCTGACGCGCCGCCTATCAATCAAAACCCCAATGACAGGTATTAACTAGCCGATAAAACAGCTCCCCAGGATAATGACACGACTTTGACCATACAACACCTCCCCTCGAAATAGTGTCCCTGAAACAAATCTATTAACAGAAGCGACATTTAATTAGTTCATATTAATGCCCATCAGAAGCAAACAATTATTGTTTCGGTCCACTCAATCCCTTGGTTAATACGTCAGCCGTCATCTCCGATGTTGGTAGATACTCCAAACGAATTATACCAGTTTTAACCGCGTCTCTAATGAAGTGGTGATTCACATCAATGTGCTTAGATCTTGAATGAACATTATGACTGACGATTAAGTTCTGAGCACTCTGGTTATCATTCATTATTGTAATTTGTCGATAATTTAAATCCAGTGTCCTGAAGAATTCTCGTAGATACAAAAGCTCTCTGGTGCCTTCAGCAATCCCCATGTACTCAGCTTCGGTACTTGATAAAGCCACAGTACGTTGTTTTTTGGCTTTCCACGATAAAGGTGCTCCGGCCAACATGAAGACAAACCCAGTGAAAGACCGACGATCAATCATATTAGCGCCCCAGTCAGTGTCCACCATCCCGTACAGAGCATCTCCAGTTTGTTCATAAACAATTCAATAAT